GTGACCCACAGAGGTCCCTTCCAACCCCGACCATTCTGTGATTTTGTGATTTTTCATTGTTTTGTTTGGGTTTCGGGGGTGTTTTTTAACAAGAAAAAAGCTGTTACAAATCAATTTCTAGTTATAAATCATCACAACCACGCACAAAAAAATTCTTATCTCATCCCCCCCAAGAGGTGGTCTTCACCAAGAGGCTGGATGCTGAAGTACAGGAATTTCCCTATAAAGCAACCTTGGACTCCACTTTTTATCCTCCTGCGAAAGACCTATGTTTCAGAGTAAAAGTAAAGCCAGAACCTTTGAAGGACTGATGCTGCAACAGTCTATAAATAGAGACAGAAGACAGGGTAGCGTGGTTTCTACCCAAAATCCTATCAATTACTAGAAACATCAATAAGTAGTCTATTAAACTTGGAGTTTTAACAAGATGCTGGAGAAGGAAGCAGCTCTGGGTTTCTCACCAGCGCTCTCATTTCCATTTCAGCCAGGAACACTTCTACAGCTGGAGCACGTCGGGGTCGTAAGGACCTCGAGAAGTTCTTCCAAACGGTGTATTTTCCTCGTACGCGGCAAGCTTCGTGCATAAAATTCCTGACTGATTAAAAACAGTTTTCATTTGCTACGTTTTCTTTATTGAAAGCAGTGAAAGAATAAGGGAAAGGGCTTTAAAAGGGCAATATACTTTCAGTACCCCCGAGCAGTCTGTTCCGCGCGGAGCTGCCTGCTACCTTTTAGCGGTGACTGCTTTATTGACTGCTAATGCTACGAAATGCGTGGTGAAATCACGTTCAGAGCATTTACAGCGAGAAAGATATACACCCCTTATGCACTACCAGTGGTTTGGCAATTTTAACCTCCAAAGACATAAATGGTGATGTATTCCATGTTGCCAAACAGCACAGTAAGTACTTAAAACACTGTGAACAGACCTAGAGTTTAAAAGTGACGTTACCCAAGATGAGACTGTAATTCAGTGGATGAATCTCTTCCTGCCTGAAATATAAAAGCTCATGATCCTTCCTTTAAGATCTTGCAAGAATGAAATCTCCGAGAAATGGGAGAAATGAAGATATGTACCCTTGACACGATCACAACCTTCCACTCCCCGGGACGGTGCAATCGCACGTGCCAGCATCAGGCTGTCCAGAATAAGTCTGAAGAGGAGGAAGAACTTCTTCCCTCTGAGGGTGACGGAGCCCTGGCCCAGGCTGCCCAGGGAGGCTGTGGAGTCTCCTTCTCTGGAGATATTCCAGCCCCGCCTGGCCGCGGTGCTGTGCAGCCTGCTCTGGGTGACCCTGCTTGGGCAGGGGGTTGGGCTGGGTGACCCACAGAGGTCCCTGCCAACCCCGACCATTCTGTGATTCTGCAAAGTCTTCTTAGCAGCAACACGTTGTACACCACACAACGGATCAGAAAGAGTTAGAATATTAAATATAGCTTCGCCCTATCCCAATCCTTATCTCTGTAAAAGGCAGCTTTTTTGAACATCGGAGGTTTATTTGCTTTGCCAAGCAATGATTAACACAACACGCTGGAGTGCGAGACCTTCATTTCTCCTCTTGCCCTCTTTGCCTTACTCTGTCGTGTTTCCATCTGCCAGTGCCTTAAGTCAATGATGTTCTGCCAACATTGCGCAGTCACTCCCTTAAAAAAAATAAAAACACAAAAATTCTGCTCACTCAGGAACACATGTCCTTCAGAGAGCAAAATACCATTTTTGCTCAAAGAGCTCGTTGCCAATTTTAAATGCCTTATATTCCACCTTAGAATATTCACCGATTTCACACAACCAGAATTAAAAAATACAAAGCGGAATCACCAAGGTCAGAAGGCCCCTACAGTGACCGTCCAAGGCCAGCGTCCCACAGCAAGCAGCAGCAGCCACCAGCAGGTCGTGGCGGGTTGTGTCCAACCCAGTCTTGAAGTC